ATTTTTAAATTATGAAAAAAATTAACTTGCTCCTTTCATTAATGAAAAACAAAATTAATTCTTACGAGCTATGATGTCGATATGACAATCAGTGATATTGATGTGGCCATCTAAGTATTGACGAGATAATCTACAGTAGATAATACATAGTAAAAGAATTTAATAAAAACTTTAAAATAATTGAAGGGTTGATTGATTTTAGCATAATATCAAAATGTTTGACTAAATAGTTACTTTGTCTCTATTCTTCTATTTAATACTTAGGTCTCAATGTTTTCATTTTGAGTCAAAATGATTATCGGTCTGATGAAAATTGATAATTGACTGACCATGGGCGGGAACATCGCAAGGACCAACATGTGCATGGGTACCTGTCAATTATTTTTTTTTAATATTAACTAATACTAGAAAGATTAAATTTTTGAGAAATAAAGAAAGAAAATTTACTAGCTTCCCTCAAATAAAAAAAAATTAACCCCTCTAATAAATTCCTAGTTCCACCTTTATGATTAACAACCGATTTTTATCGTTGATATGGCATGTCTTGTGTATCTAAAGTACTAATATAATAATATTATCTGTCTAAATGATGATGTGTCATTCCACGTGAGTAATAAATATAAGGTTGATATTTTTCTAAGCCATAAAAATGTAATGTTCTTGATATAAATAAATAAAACCATAATTAGATATTGTTAAAACAATTGGGCCAGATCTCCAAGCCTTTGATTATACGGATCCCCAAGTCATACAAATGTAAGGTTCTCGATCCGAGCCTACTTAAAAATGACACAATTTGTAGGCTAGGATAACTTTGAGCTATTAGACTATATTAATTTTAAATTTTAATCGGTGGTCGTACATTAAATATATTTTTATAATAAAATTTATATTTGATGCACTGATCGTATGATTGATACATCGTTAATCCATCTAAATGTGATTAGAGATCATAAAAACACTTGGAATTTATAGGTTTTAATTTGATCTGATTTGATAGATTAATTTTTTCTAAATCAGATTTTGAGATAAGACGAACCAGACATTTGTATCTATAATATGTCCTTGGTATATGGTCGCATTGTCCATGGGATATGGAGTGAGATAACTAGAAGTGCCTCTCTCTTTTTCTGGCTACAAATCGCATGTGACTCTGCCATCAACCATGTTCATGACTGAGCAAGCAGGAATCCAAGGCATAACTGACCGATTTCCGTATGGACCAACAAGTGAGTTATGGGGTTGTATGAGTGACTCAACCCAACATGTGCATAATGATACATGTTTATTTTTTTGTAATGGGAAACATTAAAAAAAAGGGGGGAATCATACAGCACACAAGACAACCCTATTTTTCTTTACCTCTGTTAAGAATATAGTAGTAATTGCTAGATGGATTATGATAGATCACAATTCTCCTTATTCATGGTCCATGCTTTTCACCACGTACCACATACATGGGACAAAGCTAAAATATTCATCTTGATCGTAAAATTTGGATTATAACAGTTATAAATGATTTTTTATTTAAGTCGAGAGTTGTAATTAGTGACCTATAAATAATATATGAAGACAATGGATATAATGTTGAGAGAAAGAAAGAAAATAGGGTTTCAGCCGTCCTTTCTAACCATGCCAGTGACATTGACACTTAACATTGGTATTAAATCTAAGTTTATAATAATTATTTGTAGATTACCATGACGGATGGATATGACTGTCTAATAATAAATTTATTTCTAATAGATTATGAACCCTACTAAAAATTTATCAAAAAATTTTAAGCTCAAAGAACATGAATTTTTAAAAAAATTAATTAACGAATCTAAAATTTTCGATAGTTGAAAAAAGGATATGAAGTTACGACTTAGTAAGAAATTTCTTCGAAGTACAATGGTCTCATTTCCTCAACCATAAATGGCCGACGCTCCAATCCACTGCAATCCCTTGTGATACGAGACGTAGATTGATGTTGCTATGATGGAAAAGCTGCATCTGCATTCATATCTTACAAGTCAAATGGCTAGTCCACCGCCCATAAAAAGAACATTTTAATGACCTATATGCTATCACCACCTACATGCAGAAGGTAGGGTTTCTTTCAAAATGTTGGAGGGACGAGAGATTTGGGGCATTGAACAACAACAGCTAGCCGCCGAAGTATTGATACAGAGAATATACTCAATGACAGTTCCTCTCTCGAACTTCGGTGCTTAATTTGCAGATGACAGCCATGATTTTTTTACTTGCATCGATGAAAACAGTACATGACATGCGGCAGCACGACATAGATAAACGGCATACGGTGCATGCATGTGAAATGTTATCAGCTCAAATTGATAAGTTATCTGTCAATATTATAATAACAGAAACAAAATACCAAACCAGGGAACTGTACGGCTTTAATTGTTGATGAAAATATCATATTAGTGGCGTGCTGATTACCGTCTTTAATTGTTTGATGAACTGTGATTTTAAAATGATTTCCGGCGTGTCTTTTAATTGTTGATGAAAATATTATATTTAGTGGCCTGAAATATTATGATATCGAGTTAACGTTGGAAAGCAACGTGAATATCAATAGATATCATTAAAATATGATTTTAGTATATTTCGGTCATTAAATTAATATATCAGATAATTGTCAATTTTTAATGGAAAATAATATGTGAAACATATAAATAATCAAATGATCATTTTGTAACTTTTAATAGTTGAAAGACTCAACAAAATTACGCTCTATAATTAAAAGATCATTTTATAACTTTTACTAGTCGTATGACTCAATAAAACAGTGTTTAATAATCGAGACCATTTATGTACTTTACCCATTAAAACTCATAAAACTTTTGATGGCAGGTAATCATCTATCTATTAGGTTTCAAATGGTATAGAAACAAAATAATAAATGAATAAAATAAATATATATAACATTATATGATTCACTTAGGGTTAGGGAATTGAATGATTGACATTGACATATATACCTTTTTAGTCGAGTCGGACCACTCATTTCTATTATCAATATACAATTAAGTGTCCAACTAGCATATTATACTGTTACGATCGACAGGTGAAAATGTGAATAAGAGAGGATGGAGGTAGGTTTCATGAATTTATTTAAATTTTAATCGATGATATTTAATTTAAATTTCAGTGTAATTCTATCTATATATGTTATTTGAAAATTAAGTTTATTAATAGATATTGTAATAGGTGATAAATTTTATTATATTATTAACAATTTATATTATTTTTACATAATATATATATATATATATATATTGAATAGTTTGAAATAATTATAAGATAATATTTGTTCAGAACTTTCTTAATCAATTAATAACACACCTTGCAGACATAAATTTTCGAATTTATGATTTCTATGAAGAAATAACTTATCTTTTACTACTAAAATCACTTTACGAATTCTTGTATAATATAATATGTATTGTTTTAAATATTTTATTAATTTTGTTAAATGGTGTCTATTGTGATAGATATAGATTTTATACGCGGGAAGTAAGGAGTATGCCTAGAGATGGTCATGGGATTCGAACTCGATGGGTTACAACCGGTCGGGTCGGATTTTTTTTAAAAAAAAATCAGGTTCGGGTCGGATTTAGGGTGAAAAGTATTCGACCCGACCCGATCTAAAAAATATATAATTTTACCTTATATATTTAGAAATAATTACCATAATACCTCTCTATATATTTTTTTGAATTAAGTCATTGTTTTTATTCATTGTTTTTATTGAATAAAAATATTTTTTTATTATTTCGGATCGGGTATGATTTTTAAGTTAAATACGGATTGGGTTCGGATCGGGCAAAAACTTGTTTTTGTTGGGTCGGGTCAAGTCTCGGGTGGATGACTTCTTGTTCTCAGATCGAATCGGGTAACAAAAACCGACCCAACTAACCCATTTCATCTCTAAATATACCATTAAGTATGTAATCAGAAAAGAAAAGCAAGTGGGATGGATCCTTTAGGACGGTTGGTCTACGAAAAATACTACCACCTAGCCACCTACTATTTAAAACCAATGCTTAATTATATGATTGATAGTTGAGTTTGATGGGCCATTGAGTTCTGGTTTTGAGTGAGAATCGGGTGTGGATTATTGGTGGCGAGATTTAAACTCAATGATTTTATTTTCGGATTCGGTGTAGTGTTTTTTTATTATTATTAATATAGAATAAATATAAGATAATATCAATTTAAAGATGATTATTAATCACTTGACATTAAATATTCATACTCCTAATATTTATAGTGTTTGGATTTAATATAACTGAATCCAAACAAAATTAATGTTTACGTTTTGTATTATTTTTATTTAGAAATATAGAAAATTAAACTATTTCTAGAAAATCATATTTATTATTGAAATTAACATTTTGTTAACGAAATTATAAATTCATAAATATGAATACATTTTATTTCTAATAGTTGATTAAAAAATTGTGAAATTTTATATTAAAATGAATCTAATCATATTTTTAATTTAAATTAGATTATTGGAACGAGTGAATTTTTTTTAACATTAGAATTAGATCGTAGTTAAATTTTATTAAGATGATCTTTTATCAGATTTAGATAATTCAAGAACTTGATTAAATTCATTGTCACTCTTACTTACATATATATAAAAAAAACAAAATTCTATTTAAATATAATATAATTTGAAAAACTAAAAAAAATTGGTTAGAAAAGAAATTTAACACTATTATTAATTAAAGAAAGAAAGAGAAAATATGGCGTTTTTGGGTCATGGGTTGGCAGAGGAAAGGGGCATTGGTTATGTGAGGGACTGGAGGCGTAATTCTACCCATTTGCAGCCCTTAATACCAACTTAACGGGCATTGGTTATGTGAGGGACCGGAGGCGTAATTCTACTCATTTGCAGCCTTTAATGCCAACTTAACACGGAAACAACTTCTATAAATACTCACACAAATCAAACCCTAAATTTCACAACAAAACTGAAGAGAGAGAAATCAAAGCCTTTTTGCTTTTATAGGTTAAATCCTATGCTCAAAGCCTCAAACCCTTCCGTCTCAATTAAATTCCCGAAACGCTTTCTTTATTTCTTTGTTGAAAGCTGAGAACCCCAGAAAATTCCCTCCCCCTGGATTTTCCCCTTTTTTATTGGAATAGAAAACACTGATCTTTTGGTATTTTTTGTGAATGGTGGAAACAATTTGGAGCTATAGTATTTTGATGCTCTCCCTTTGTAAATCGAGGGCGAGCAAAACCATCCCTGTTTCCGCCGTTTCTGCTTTCGCATTCGGTTCTTGCAAAGAAGGCTGGTACTACCGTTGCCTCGGCCTTGACCCATAAACAACGATCCCACCAATAACCCAGATTTTGTTTTTGTTTTGCTTAACATCCCAGAAAAAAAATTACGAAATAAACGCACTGTTTTCGGTTGTTGGTGAAATATTTATTCATCTTTTTTGGTTTAGATTCTTTTTTTGATTTTGGGTTTTTGATATAAAGTTGGAAAGAATGTTGCTTTACAAGCAGAAGAAGAAACAGGTTCCCAAGGGCAACCGGCTCTTGATTAGCGTCACCGTTATTGGAAGTGCTGGGCCGATCCGTTTTGTTGTTAACGAGGAAGAGCTCGTTGCTGCCGTCATTGATACCGCTTTGAAATCTTATGCTCGTGAGGGTCGCCTCCCTGTTCTCAGATCCAATCTTAATGATTTCCTCCTTTATTGCCCCACTGCTGGATCAGATGGTAAATTTATTCAAATCCAACTTTGATTTCTTGTTAACTCAAGTCAATTTTCACTCCAGAACACGAAATTAATGATTTTGGTGTTTGGATTTTTTTCATTGCAGCACTGAGTCCATGGGAGACGATTGGATCACAAGGTGCACGGAATTTCATGCTATTCAAGAAGCAGATAACTGAGAAAGTGGAAAACGATGCAAAATCAGCTGAATCAATTACTAGGAAATCACCTGGGAATTGGAAGGCATGGTTTAATAAATCCCTCAATCTTAAGATTTCCTCCCATTAAACTAAAACCCAAGTCCATTATCATTGCCGATGGCCTTAGTAGAATGTTGGTTTTATGTTCTTCATCTTGTTTTTCTCATTTAACTGAGAAAAGACCCGCAGGAATAAATTCTACTTGGTTTCCAGTGTTTTTGCATTGCAATAAAGAATGAACATTTACGGTGTTCAATTGATGATTATATTTGTGTTCTTCAGAATTGCCTTTGATATTGCAAGTTGCTTTCCATGATGCTTCTCATTTGCTAGTTGGATATGGCGATTTGCTTAAAAATATGTAGGACACTGTAGTTGGATTTTGAAGCATTCAAACTATGACAATTTACGAATTCTATTTCTGCTTTACCACGTGATCGATGTCATGAGTTGGAGATCAAGAAATCACTTGTAAATGTTGGGATTCGAATCATCAGAATCACTAGTTCTTATCTTTGAATTTTATGAATCGATCAGGCAAATCATTTGGGGACATCAGAATCAAGAACGAACGAAAAAGTTATGTTGGTGTTCGTTTTTGGTCTTTGAAGGTGTTTGTTTCCTGTTCGTTTGACGTCATAAGCATATTTATCAATATGTTCGTTTAATGTTTACCCATATTTGTCTAAATGTTTTTAATATTTACCGGCATGTTTGTTTATATGTTTAAAAAATAAAAAAATTACTATTAATCCTTAAGCTTTTAAAAGAAGTAAAAAAAACGAATAAACATTTATAAATGAGCAAATAATTGAACTTTTATGAACACAAATGAATAAAATATATATATATTTGTTTATGATCATTTATTAAGAAAATGAATAAAAAATATTAATATTTATTTATTTAACTTGATTTATAAATAATTTATTGAACTCGTTTATATTCTTAAGAAGAATCGAGAGAGATAAGGGTCCCCAGCAAGCCGTTGTGCTAATCATGTAGTACACGGTGACTTACGGCCAGCACGGCATTTTCTATCAATTTTGATGTTCCATTGTTCTTTCCTTTTCATTAGAGTCGTTTTCAGCAAAACTTGTGCAGTAGCCAAGGGACCATGGCCTATGGGCTGTGTTGAAGAATGAAGATGCCGACTTACAATAATATCTACTTGTAGGTTTTCTTGGTAAACGTGGAAACATGAAGACCTTTTGAGAATCACTTGAGCTTTCCAGCTAATTATGCTGACCGTTCCAAAACTGACTGGGTTTTCAATTTCGATTTCTCTTCCTTTCATCAAATCTTCTTGAATACCTATCTTTGCAGGTTAAGTAAATATGGGGTTTATAAATGTTTTTAAGATTTAAACATATTTGTTCTGGATTAATATAAGGGTTCATGACTTACACTTGAAGATGCTCAAGTCCTTAATCACTAAATGATTAAAGAATTAGAGCACCTCTTCTTGCTTCAAATATCCCATTTATGATGACAATGCACCTAAAAGCTTGTTTCACGCATTGGACGCATTATCATCCAATGTCATGTACTACCTCATAAAATGCGGCACTCTTTATCTTTCCCATACTATATTATTTTTATAATATGAACATTAACATGCGACCTGTCCTGGAAGTACCTTTTCTATTTTAACCCCCAAGTGAAATTGGTTTGTTGTAGGCCTCTCTCAATACCCTTAATAGAGGTTCATTAATTAGTCCAGTACAATTTCCCAAGGGTCAGGCCAGCCTTTGGTTTTTGAACCCAAACAAATCTCTGAAACCTTAATAAGGTTCGATGTTAGGCTTAAAGCCCAGCAAACAAATACGGTAAAAATCGCGAGATCAATACATGAAATAATAACCCTTATTTTATTACATAGAACATGAATTTAAGTAGTCAAAATGTCAATTTAAACCGCATCATGTACAGTGAAAAAATCAAATCATATTAATAAGCTATACGATGACACATTTTTAGTAATAAATTTAATTTTAACTTTTTATGATGATATTTTTATTTATTAATAATATATGAAATTATATGTCCTCCATCCATAAAATTACAATCTAAAATCTATTCATCGCACACGCACGTGTATAACAACTTACAAGTAAAATATTATCATATTCATGATTGAGATTTTTAAGTTGACTGATTAAACGTGTTGAAAATTATGAGTCAAAGGTCAAATAGGGGAGAGCGACGAGCACTTCAAATTTCACAGTTTTGAAGAACATGACAATACAACTAAAAAGAAAAAACTATAACGTTAATGTAAAGGATAACAAGTCACATGTTAACATGAATGGACCGAAAGAGGACGGGTGCAATAGTCGCCTCATTTATTTGAAAATTTAAAATTATTATATATGTTTTTTTTAAAAATATTTTTATCTCTCTACAAATTTTATAAATTCATTTTTTTAATTTTAAAAAATCTGTTTTTTTAATATAAAATTTTGCACATGTCTCTCTATATTAATTATCATTAGTATAATAAATTGAACTATAACAAGTTTATATCAGTGTAATGTAACGTAAGGTGGTCCAATTCCTAAAAAAAAGCTAATATGAGAAGTGTCATTTCTTTCACTTATCAAGATCTACTAGTCTTCATGATACCATTATAATGCCCTCTCTTGTGTTCACAAATCTTCACCAATCTACCCTTTTTATATATAACCCATTTTTTAAATCAGAATTATAAATAAAATAATAAAAAATTGATATTAATTTTTACTTAACATCAATCAATATATTATATATATATATATATATAAATAATAATAAATAATAGAAATTTGATATTAAAAGAATGATATTTTCCTCAAAAGTTTTGAGTCTGAACAAATGAACCTATAATACGCATATATTGTTATTGATTAAAAACGATTCTAAACATATATTAACTTATATTTATCGTAAATTATCAATATATGCATAGATTAGCTGGCAGCCATCAAAGTTTTCCTGGGTCATGAAAAAGATGAAATGAGTTTGATTTACAAACTGGCAATCACAATCAATTCTCAGTGCAAAAGCAACATAACTCATTGCAGAAAGGGAATTGCAAACCATATAGAGAAAGATCAAAAAGAAGAAGAGAGGTAAATAGCTTTAAGGCAAGACATAATCAGTGAGGACTCGCACTGGGGAAGTGAAAAATGTTTTCCCGAGAAAATTTAAAAGGAAGATGAGAAAGTGAAAGACTTTTTAAATAAAGCTAAAACACATGATTAAGAAGTTGACATTTAAGTGAAGTGGGCATTTCCTTTCACTTTCCTATGTTTGTGCTTTTGCTGACATTTAAAACAGTGATGGGTTCTGTAAATAGTTTGTTTTTCCTCAACAATATGCAAACAGAAATACCCTTAACTAATGCTTTCATTGTTATTGCCAATGTGTTTGATTAAATGCCTGAAAGGAAAGTATATCACAGATTTGGTAATTTTTCAGTGCTGTGCACTTATTGCAGCCAGCAAGCTGGGGATATTTGCAGTCCAATATTTTGTCAACTGTTGAGTTTTCAACTCAGTTTCTGCAATTTTTTTATCTTCACTTATTTCCAGCAAAGCTATATATAACACATTAACCCATTTTTGATTTCACACAGAAAATTACAAAAAAGATTTCCAAGAATAAAAACTTCTAAGAAAAATAAACCTAAACAGAAAAATGATGATAATAAAGGGATGGGTAACGGGAAGCGTCAGCCAGTTCTGCGACCAACATTGACAGATAAAGATAAGGGTTTCGTACAAAGGGACCAGTCTTTGAGTTGACTCGTTAGTCAACTCGTCTGAATTCAGTTGGTAATGGTGGAGGTGAGGAGGAGTAGTTGGCGGCCTTCCAAGCTGAAGTTGTAATGAGTGGGCGTTTATGCCATCCAAGCATCAAACAACCGCTGCTCTCCTCCACGCCGTACCCGTCTCCGCCGGCGAACAGGGCGAGTAACATACCAGCCTGCTTGAACGCGTTGGAACCCAGATGAACCGGTGAAAATCCAGCGGAAACCAATCGGTTTCTCCACTGAGTCGACGACTCGTGCCTCTCGGTTCTATCCACCCCTTCGCAGGCCACCACGTTACAAATCTGTTTCCCCAAATACACCTCCGACATAACCTTGTCCTGACCGCTCGCCGACCCTTCTAACGAATCGAACAGCGTCGAGTAATAATGTAATGACTCAGTGAACCGGTCTAAGAAAACTGGACCGTTATGGTTCGCTTCCTGCTCGACGATGGTAACAATTTCAGGCTTCATTTGCTCAACCACGGAGAAAACTTTGTCGATACCACCGGGCCGAGCCAACAATTTATGTAGCTCAAAAACTGAGTTAACCGCCACGGCTTCAACTTCACTCGGTCTGAGATCAAGCATCGAAGCATCCAAATCGGCTAAAGAATTAGCAACGAACCCACGGTACTCGAACTCAACGTGAATCGTTTCAGCTAACTGAGCCAGCTTCCAACCAACTTCCTGCAAATGATCCGAGTTGTCGTGGCTAGGAGGTCCGATCCCAGTTAACCTAAAAGCTGGCGGACCACCGGCTCTTAAAGCCAAAGCTTGCATCAAAGCAGGCCATTGCATGCCTTGGTTCATTGAAAAATCGATAACATGGACTCTTTTCTTGCCTTCAAAAGCTTCGAGAATAGCTTGATTCGCTGTGAAATGAGCGAACTTTAGATAAGGGCAGGCCTCGTAAAAGTGTATGTGAAGAACATCTGATAAAGAGTGGTCGAGTGGGTTTTGAGGATACAATCTGTAAATCCTTCGAGCTAATGCTTCAGCGAAATACGTCGCCACTTTCCTCATAGCTCCGGCTTGAGAAATAGCTAAGAATCCAATTTGTCTCACCAAAGCTTCGGCGAGATTGAGATTGTTTTGCTGGACACCTTCTGCACATGCCATCAAAGCATGGACAAGCCGGATTCCATTCTCTTGTGAGTCGACAAGGACAACGGGACGAATTGAATCAGTCGGAATTCCATATGAAGCAGGAGGAGGAGGAGAGAAGATATCCGAGTGCGACCCGGATGTGGATTTCAAGCGTTTTTCGGATTTAAAGTTGTTGTGAGTCGAAGTCGACGACGAATCGTGTATTTGGGTTTGAGAGCTTTGAGAATAAATAGCCTTACCAGGAATTGCTTTGAGATCATAATCCGAGCAAGAAGATTCCTCAAAGATTTGTTTCCCACTTTTTTTATGTTTCCGGTTATTGCTCTCGAAATCCAACGTCGTCAAAGTAGACGACTCAGCGGTGCCGAGAAAAGAATCATCTAACGCACCCGTCAACGGCGCCGCCACGGCCGTCGTTCCAGAAGGACCAAAAGGGTCAAAAGTAGGAGGAATAAGTTCAGAAAGCATACTTTCAAGATAAGTCGACATATCTGAAGGATTATAATGAACAGTCTCGAAAGCAAGATGCGAAATCCCATCATCCTGAACACTACACATAATTTCGTCCAACTGCTCGAGCTTCTGAGCCACTTCGACCATGTCCGAAGTCTTAACCTTGTAACCCAGAACCGCCAAATCCTCATCCATTCCGCAGTCTTGTTCGGCGGCTTCTTCCTCCCAAAGCTTCGCCTTTCCGGTCGAGGAACTACCGCAGAGAGAGTATGATGGGTCTGAGTTGGGTTGCAGATGATTGTGGTCTCTCTTCATGGTTGACCTCTCTCTCTCCCCCTCTGTGTATGTGTGTCTTCTGTGAATGGTATCTGTGGATTTGTGTGGCGATTGTCAGAAACCTAAGAGAAAAGATAATGGGTGAAGAATCTGAGCATTGGGGATTGGGGGTTTTGCTTGGTTTTTCACTACTACTTCCACTTCATCATCACATATAAATAAAATAAAATAAAAAACTAAAATAAAAAGGGGTAAAATACATTAGAGTCACTCAACTATGTATTCAAAAATAAATAGGCCACTTTTTTAAAAGGTTCTTGATAAGCTACTCAATTACAATTTATTAGAACTCATTGGAACTCATTGAGCAATCTTAATGGTAAGAGAAAATATTATTCTTCCCCTTAAAAGACCAAGTTCTAGCGGTCGTATCTATAGAGTGTGTACATTGTAATTGGTAAAGAAAGATTTTAAGCAACTATTACGTTATATTACTTTCATATTACAATAATTGTTTAATAATAAATTGTTGATATTTTATGACGAAATATAGTTATCAAATTGTTACTTTAATCCAATGTGTTCACTTAATTATACATTATCACAAAAACGCTACATTGATTGAATTTTAAATATAAAAAATAAATTTATTAAATTATTTTAAATTGAGACCGATTTAATAAAATACATGTATTTTAAAAACTATGAGTATCATTATATCAAATTACATTAAATTAATGTTTCATTTTCTACTGACTGCATGTCGTTTATAATAAAATTTCAAGACTTAAATGTAATATTGTCCTTTAAACTATATACTTTGTATTGAATTGTTCTTTAAAGTATTTTTTTTGAGACATTTTACTCTTTAAAGTTTAAATTGTTATTTTATTCGTCTAAAACAGTTAATTGTGTTAAAAAATATGATGGTAGATTATATATTTAATCACTCAACTATTTTATTGCTTCCATATTGGTCATCCAATTATTTTTTTCTCTCAAAATCATCACTAAATATATGAGAAGGAAAAGAGCCGTGTTTGATATGCAAAACTCCTTGCACCAGAACTCAACGTTAGACCGAGAGTTTGATATGGAGTCCATGACGGTGCACGGTGAGGGGTTTCGGGAATGTCGATACCTATAGACGATATATAGTGAATCGTTTCTTTGAGCTGTAATGCTGAAGTTGTGAAGTGCTCGAGTTTGATGATAGACTCATGATTTGAAACGTATAGATCCCAGAAGAAAGAGGAGATGTAGCATACTACAGCGTACTTTAGTTGAGTGGTTTGTGGCAGAGTGAAGGTGAGACGGGGCTTGTGGCGTAAGAAGTCAATCCGATCTTGCCTTACGGGAGCAACTGGTTGTTTAGTTTCGTCATGTGCAACTAGTGGTGCCTCATAAACCTGGTTAGTGGTTAGCCATGAAAACTCAGTATAGATTTCTCACAATATGTGATTTGCATATTTCTCATAAGAAACACTTGTAAAATCACATTAAGAATTTGTAAGTCGGTGATATTTTGATATACATATGCTTTAAAATAAACTGATACTTCCAAGTTGTTTAAAGAGAACGTTTCTTATTGGGAGGCAATGTGAAATATATATATATATATCAACGATGAAGAGTAAGCTTAATAAACCTCAAACCCCTCATTTTTGCCTCTAAGAAACCTCAATTACACTAATCCAGTTTTGATGATTAAGTAGCCGAATTTCAATGCTTCCTTTATTTCCTTTAACTGACTAAACAATGTTTTCTTTTTTTGAAATGATAAATCTTCTTAGTCACTTCAGTACCAGAAGAATGCAAGTCTAGTAAGACCTCACACCATTATACATATTTAATTTAATAAAGCTAAATCTATATATAAGACTGCAACACATACATATTTTGGCTATTAAGGAAGGAGAGGGACGGTGTCCGAATGAGAGAGGCAAAGGGTGTCTATCGGTATCGACATCTCGAAACTCCTTGCCCTGCACCGTCACGGACTCCAAATCAAACTCTCGGTCGAACGTTGAGTTCTAGTGCAAGGAGTTTTGCATATCAAACATGACTCTCTTATTCCTCACATGTTTAGTGATGACTTTGAGAGAAAAAAATAGTTGAGCGACCAAAAAAGAACCACCAGAATAGTTAAGTAAGTAAATATGTAAATTAGCCTCGTATTTTTTTATGATGTTAATGGTTAAGGGCAAACTAGATAATAATTTAAACTTTAGAGGACAAAATATCCAAAAAAAAATACTTTAGGGGATAAATCAACACAAAGTGTATAGTTTAAGCGGTAATGGTGCATTTAAATCAAATTTTAATCGAGTAACATGTTTATAATTTCTTAAGAGAAAGTGGTTCATTTTATATCAAATATATTATTGAGGGACTTGGAAGCTATTTTACAAAATTTTGAAAGGAATCAGTATTGATTTAAAAAGAAAAAACACTCGTGATGGGCGCGACTACCGATGAACCACATAGGCTAACTACAACAACTACAGCTCAAGCGGATAAGATAAGAAAAATACATTTTTACCCTCATTCTTTTAATTAAAAATATTTTTAAAACGTTGTACAAGTATTGTGGGGCCCTGTTAAAATGTCATCCCCACTTCAATTATTTTCTTTTTACCTTTAATACACAATCTTTTTTCAGAGTTTAATTACATTTTTATTTTACAGTTGAATTTCTGTTTGGTTACTAGGTTTAACCACTCATCTTCCCCCTGTTAAAAGTTACTGCGACCTGTTGCCCTACCCTATCCCCCTATATTATTCATGAGCTCACATTATTTTTTGTGTTATTTAAATGGATAGAATATAAATTTTTATTTAATATTTAGATATCCGATGATTTTGTATGAATTAAGCCACGGGTTAAGGAAATGTTGTTATTTTATAGGTATTAGGTTCGAGTATGTTTTCTATAAGGATGTTTGAATATTTTTGTAAAATAATTGAGAATTTTTTGAATAAATACTACCTTGTAATTATCTCAAACTAATAAAAAATATTCGACGATTTTATTAATCTTAATTTCATGGGTAATATACGTATAACGGCCCAACTATCATTTTTATTTAATTTTGATCATTCAATATTATTTGTTTCAAATCATCTCTAACATTATGTTTTAGTTTCATTTTGGCCACCTGTCAATAACAAATTAACAGAACTATTGATGTAACATTTTTAATTTTTTTCAATTATTACGTGGCACTGTCTTATGGTGACACATCAACATCACTATTAAAAAATTAACAGTGATGACCAAATAAAACCAAACGTAATGTTATGTATGAATTTAGGAAAAAAATAAGTGGGTGACCAAAACAGAATAAAAATTATGGTTAGAGTACTAAAGTGTAGTTTACCCTAGTTAGGTTTAAATGTGAGTTAAATTTTATCTTAATTTTTATTATACAACAATAACAAAACCCTATTCCCATATGCAATGAGGTAAGGGGGAGGTAGATTAGTAGGTTGTCCCCAATGTCAGGTTTAGAGCAGCTTTGTGTAAGACCTCCGGCAGTCAAAAAATTAAAAATAAAGATAAATTGCAATGCATGTATAAATAAATAAAATACATAATTGAACAGTCTTCATATGTAGTATTCATATGCGCGACTGTAATGGGAAGTAATCCCTGCAATAAATCCCTGCGTAAAAATCTCTGCATATAGACAGAAACGTAAGACCCTGCTAAATTTAACAAGAGAAAACATGAAGAGAATAATACACAAAAGTCAACGATAGCAAGCTACGAAAAGGAATAAAGTCAAAATGGGTTAAACCTAAAACTAATGCAACACTACTTCGTTACCATAGTTCTAAGCCTTTATAGATTCCAATGACAGAAACGTATAAGAAGTAGAAGTCATGGAAATTACTACAAAGGCATAAAAGAAGGCAGAGATGATACACCATATGGATGTGACCCACACTACTCGGCTACCCTTGTCTTAAGTCTCCATACTTTCCTATCAGAGGTCATGTCATCGGTAAAGGCTAAATCCTTCAAATCATATCTCAATCAGCCCACTTCCGCCTTGGTCGTCCTCTCATTCTGGCACCGTCGACTGTAATCGACTCAACCCTTCTGACCGCATCCGACGGTTGTCGCCTAAGGACATGCTCAAACCACTATAGTCTTCACTCTCTCAATTTTTCGGATACAGGCACCACCCCAAGGACATCCTAATAGCAGAGTTTGGTCATGTCCCACAGATTCCTACCACATGACCATCGAAGCATTCTCATTTATGCAACCTCTATCCTCCTTACATTATCCTTCTTGATTGCCCAACATTATAATTCATACAGCAACGCTGGTCTTATTGTCATTTATAGAATTTTCCTTAAGTTTTAGAGGCACCTTCTTGTCACACAAAACTCCAGTAGAAGCCCTCCACTTTAGTCATCCCGCCTTTATATGGTGTGTAACGTCATCATCTACACCCCTATCTTTATGTATCATAGACCTTAGGTACTTGAAACAATCCTTTGAGGGGAGAATGTGTCATTCTATGCATACTTCTACATCTACACCCACATTTTTATTATATTAGTATTTTATAAATGTTTTAAAGTTTACCTATATTTCTCCTTTTTCTTTATGTTTTTTTTCAACCCTTGAAATCGGAACTAATTTATGGTTATTAATTACAATTTACAGCTTAGGACCATTTTTTTAAAGTGCTACTATTAGGATAAGGTTAAGAAAATAAATTATTGTAGAGTTGACATTTTAAGAAGCATATTCATTTGGGCTGGGGGCTATTTTATGTCTTTATGGTTGAAGTATAATTTTTTTTAGTATTAAAAAATCATTCTTAATTTTAATATATTTATTAGATGTTATTTATATTATTTGTTGGTTAACTATTTCTACATCATTTAAAAAATTAAAGAATATAATTGTTAAATTTTGATGATGTATTATAATCCTATTTACTAATAATACATAAATTATACATAATTAATACATTAAATATAAAATCACCAATAATCATTTGATCTGGTCGGATAAGATACTAGATCCATTAAGTTATGTTATGGGTTTTAATCATGATGTTTGCGGATTGAACAAATTATATTGAAAGTATCTCCCTTGTCTCTGAAGTTCCTGATTTTGATTAATCGATTAATAAATTAAATATATGTGAATATATAAAAACAAGAATAAATATAAATCTGTTAATGTTACCCTTTTTATTGAATTCAGTTTTGTTTTTAAGGGATTTTGTTAATTATGACATTGAAAAATGAAAAATACATGTTAAAATCAAATACCTTGTTTTAAGTAAAATTAACAAGGCATGCAATAGACTATTATGTCCATCTTTGTGTGGCTGAAATGAAGGGTATAAATCACATTTCACAATTTCGCGCCATGTCATTATTAGGCTTCAAAACTCAGAAATTCTAACCTCACTCGAATTCATGTTTTTTTTTAAAATAATATCATATCAATATTATTCACTCAAAATTAAAGAAAAATGGATAAAGTACATATTGAGTCACTTAATTATTAATTTGTTTACAAAAATGTCATCTTTTATAAAAATTAAAATTTAATCACTTAAATTAAACATTGTTACAAACATGTCGTTTTGTTGTTGAAATTAAAAAACAAAACGTGTAATGTGCCTAGTATAATAATGGATGCACTTTTCAAAACTTATACATTTTATCAATTTGATTCTAAATCCAACCGATTTAATAAAATTAATCTTTCATATTTAATTTTAATTTTTTTTATAATTTACTCCAGTTTTACTATACTATCAAACCAAGCAAGTTCATCGAATCAAAGTAACAATTGAACAATTGCTTTCCACTCCACTATGAAGCATCAATAAGTTACTATATAAAAATATAATATTTTTAAGAGAAAAACATAGATTAAATTAATGGTAATTTTAATTATAAAATATTAAAATTGTTGAATTATTTTTAATTAGGACTAAATTGATAAAGTATAAATATTATAGACTAAAATTATTATTATAACGACATTCATAATTATTCAATTTAATATTTAACCATTAGTGATTTATTTATAATATTTTTTTGATTGAATAACTAAATTATAATATTTTTAAAAAATGACTCAATTGAAAAATACTTAATAATTGAGTGACCTTATATGGATTTTACCCAAAAAAATTGAAAGTGCAGCCATATCTTAAACAACAGTGGGCACGAGGAAGGAACATCTGTATTCCATCCTACTTTGTGTGTCAGTAGTACACTGTAGCGAGGTCACGCGGAAATGGTTGGTCAGCAAGAAATTCAGGATTAAGTCAGCCCGGGCTGATCAATGGCTGATCTTTTGCTCAATGGTTAATTTCGTTGACCTCTTATTCCAAACCCAGGTTTCCATGTCGATTCATATGAAGTAATCATGCAGCTGCCGTGCCACCAATTAAATAATTTTTTATAACATAAAAATGGTTAATATAGGGGTGGTTATAGGTCGATTTGCGTTGGATTTTTGGTTCACTCGATCTAATTCGATAATAACGACTCCTCCACACGAAATATGATCATATCCGACCGACTCGATATTTTAAAATAAAATTCGAACCTGATCGGACCAGAAAAAATTTTAAAAAAATATTTGTATCTAATAAAAACGTGATTTAATTGAAAAAAATATATAGAGAAACATTATTGTAATTATTTCAAAATATATAAAGTAAAATTATAATTTTTCGAATCGGATATTATTCACCTTAAACTCGAATACAACCAACCCGAACACCAATTTTAAAAAATCAGAGCGACCCGATACAAACACAAATATTTATATATAAAAAAAACCACAACACAATCGGGTAGAGTCGGGTCAGACCCGTCGAGTTCGGTTCCATCCCTAGGTTCATGCATGACTGCCGCAACGTGGGTGGGGAATATGCTGCCAACTTGCTTTACCTGACATCAATTAATAAAAAATATCCCTTTTTATGTTATTTATTTTAGTGGTAAATTTTAAAGTTTCGGTATTAATTTAAATAATAATTATTAAATCTGTTAATTTAATTTAAATTAAATAATTAATTATTTACCACATCTTATAGAGTTGAAGGGGCACTAATTTTACACTGGAAATAAAAAGATAGATTTAAAAGTTTAAAAATGTTGGAACTCTGACATAATTTAAATTTAAAGATTAAATAATTACACGAACTAATGACATAATTTCATCAGTAAATTATCACCAAATACTCATCCAGTTAAATAATATTTTTGTGTATTTACTTATAAATTAATAACTAAAATATTAATTACATCTGAATTTTTAAACACGTGGCATTTAAATAGATTACCTATGACCATTTTTTTGCGATGAAGTTTCAATTAAATTGATAATAAAAAGAAAATTATTAGTAAATTAATTTGAGAAAAATATTAAAAACGGCGTCAACCGACTCATAGGTTGACATGAATAATCAAATGTCAGTTTAATGCCTACCCTAATGAGGGAGACTACTCGACAAAGACGGCCCCGCCGTCACCGTCAACGGCCAAACACTCCCCGTCTTCGAACCCCCGTTTTAGTTAACGGGAAGAGGAAAGAGGTGTACCAATCTCTGTCCTGGTCTTAACGCCGTTAGATAGGTAGCCCCATTTATTTATTTCCGTTCACAGCTCTGAAATCTGAAATACTGTAATTTTTCAGAGGAAAGACAAGGGGGTTCTGTGAAGGTAACACTGACAGTAGAACGACACGACGTGGTTCTTACACGTGTGAAAACAATACGTTTTGATGGGAATCAGTGTTTGGTAAATTCCTGATTTGTGGGTCCCACACACCATGTGATTCTTACACGTGTTAAGATTCCCGTCCAGTGTGGGGTCCATCAACTGGCCCCTACTTGGCGGTGGAGGGAGGCCGTTCAGATATTGTCATGTAGTAAGTTTTTTAATTTTGTGGTTACGATGTGTAAATCATAATTTAGAGTTTTTTATGGAAACTATTCTTAATTTAACGTTGGTGATATTCTACAATCTTATTTCATTCTTGTCCCGTTATATATGGGAATAAGGATCAATTAATTATTATATTTTCCGTTTTAACTTTATATTAGTAAGGGGAATTCATGTTTTTAGCCAACCTATAGGCGCTACGTTTCCACTAACTTTACTTAATCTTAATCATTTCTTCGAATGCGGTTAAGTAGTAATAATTTTTAATAGTATTAATGTTTATGAGATAATATTTGTTTAAAGAATAATATCATTTTACTATTAAAATTATTTAACGAGTTTTATTAAGTAATGATTAATAGCATTATTTTTTATATAAATTAATAACATTATTAAGAGAATAAATGTCACGACGATTAAATATGATTTATTTTTTTAGTTTAAAGAGTTGTAATTGATGATAATAATATAATATGACTTTTAATTAATGTAGAAAATCGTCATTTTGCTAGAAAAGATGGTTGGTTTTAGATTCAACTCTCTATTCTTTTGATCTTGATCAAAGTATTTTGTAGTAACTCTTCGTATGTGTCATACATCAAATTATGATATTTTTTTATAGGTTGATAAGGTAAGTAGACTCATATGTATTCATGTATATTTGACTTTGTCATTGAAATTCTTTTTGATGTTTCTTAAATAAAGTGTCGTGTTTGAATTTTACAAATGCAAAATATAATACTATAAAAAGTTTTATTCGATTCGGCTTTTAATGTAATTCGAATCCAATTTGAGTTATGAATTAAAGAAATGATGGCCCAAACAAGAGTATGGCCCTCCAAACGTAGTTAAGCAAATCCAAGCCACGGAGCTGAAGATAGAGGTTAAGGTTCATGTTGGGCTTAATCTTTAGCTTTTATTTTATTTTTGCAGTGTAGGCTGTAGCGTGTTTTTTTAAATACTATGATGATTATAAAATAATATATGTTTATAATTTTTACTTTCTTAACCTAGGTCATTAGGTTCATGCAGGCTGTAAAGTTCTTAGTAAAAACCAACATGAAAATAGTCAGTTCCTCTATTTCTGTTCAAATTATTTTTTAACATTTGATAACGTACACATATAATGCAAACACTGATGTTCGAACCTATAATTAATATCATATGCTTGTAGTTTAATATATTAACTAATTAAAAGATGTCACAACTGGATTTATGCTCATTTCTAGCAGGACATGCAGGATAGCAAACATCTTATAGTATATATATTTTTTGCAGTGACAGTATAATTGGCATGACTAAAGTTGTTTTATTAATGGTACTATCTATTGAATGAGTCGAAAGATTCTCTAATTTTTTTTTGAAAGGATTTTGTGAATTAGCAATTGTTGGATAGTGGATTAAAGTTTGAAGCTGTTCATATATTATTTTAGTTCTAGAATTTTATTTCTAAAATTATATATATATATATATATATATTTATTGACTGCATATTTTGGTAAGTTACCTTATAAAAGAAAATATTATTTTATAAGTCACGAAAGGAGAACTTTTATCAACCGATATTTTTGTCCGTTAATCTCTAATCGTCTGTCTCCTCCGTCTGCAATGCATGCCTAAAATCAGCAAGAGGAATTACGCATTTTGCGTTGCTTAATTCCTGATAATCCATTCCAATTATCCATTTCTTTCCTTATTTATATATTTACCGTTACTCCATTTTCCTCTATCACTTCCCCCTCCCTCCCAAAACTTTTTCCAACAATGGAGTCAGTCGATCTTAATGAAACGACCAACGTCACCGGTAACGAAAACCACGTTGACCACGGCTGGCAGAAGGTGTCATACCCCAAACGCCAACGCAAGACCAAGAACAAGCCTAACGCCGATAACGGAGCTCCACCAGATGGAACGTCCAGCGTTTTCCGTTCCGTCGAGCAACAGGCCGAGGAAAGTCGCCTTCGGATCCTTGAAGTGCAAAGAGCTTACGGTGCTTCTGTTGTTGTCGTTGAGGACAACGCGAAAGCTAAGCAGAAAAAATCGGGCCTTGACGATTCCGACATGGACAGTGACCAGGATGGCGTTACGTCTGACGGGAAGCCGGCTGATGAGGGAAAGAAGGTGAAGCAAAAGAAGACGAAGAATCCCAAGGTTACCGTTGCAGAGGCCTCCGCGAAGATCGACGCCAATGATCTCTCCGTTTATCTTGCGGTAAGTGTCGAAAGGTGATAAATTTATGTCTTTTTGTTGGATAATCGATTGATGATAATCTGATATAAGTTTCTTCATTTGTTTGTGGAATTAGGAATTGAGTAGCGAACAGGAAGAAATTCAAATGCAAAAGTTTGCGGATTTCTATGGCAAAGCATTCCAGCAAGTGGTAGCGGGGCAGTTTCCTTGGTTGAAGATATTCAGGGAGAGCACAGTCGTCAAGCTTGCTGATGTGAGTTTCTTTATAATTATAGATTTTATCACAATTGCAATATGTTCATTATGTTAGCTTAATTGTTGCAGGAAGGAGATTTTGATGCATTATGTTCTTGCATGTCTGAGTTCATGGAGAACTTTTACCAATTCCTGATTTGTTGTTTGATTGCATTAACGAGCTATCATACATGGTTTTATCATCTAGGCTTTTGCGCGTGTAAATATGTGTCTTCGAAAAGCACTGTGCACGTTTATTCTTTGTGATATCTTCGCTGTTGTTTTCACGTTTAGCTATTTTCTTCCCCTGACCGAAGTTGCTAATTTGTACATTAACAGATACCACTTTCTCATATCTCTGATGTTGTACATAAGATCTCTGTTGATTGGATTAGCCAACAATCCCTTGAGGCACTTGGTTTCTTCGTATTATGGTCTGTAGACATCATTCTTGAGGACTCGGCTGCCCAACAAACAAGTGCTAAGGGCTCCAATAAAGGTGTGCAACAGACATCAGCAAAGTCCAAGGTAAAATATACCGGCAGTTTTACCGTCGAATCGGTTATTTTTGTTGCTGTTCATCTGTTATTTTGTTGTCGGTTGCTTTTAATGTATCATATGGGGTTTTGATGTAGACACATGTTTTGCAGGTCGGTATATTTGTGGCATTAGCAATGGTATTGCGGCGTAAACCTGATGCTTTACTTAGTGTGTTGCCAAAGCTGAGAGAACATCCCAAATATCAAGGACAAGATAAGCTCCCCGTTTTTGTATGGATGATAGTTCAGGTCAGTAGATGGAGAGACAATGTAATTCCGTCCGAAATATGAGTTCGAAGGCAGTTTATGAACTCTTACTCTTTCCTGTTTGATATGCATCTTGTTTCATATGTCAACATTGTTCTGTCTAGGCATCCAAAGGAGATCTTCCTGTGGGGCTGTACATGTGGGCACATCACCTCTTGCCTATACTTGGTGGCAAGAACTGTAATCCACAGTCCAGAGATCTAATTTTACAGCTGGTTGAATGGTATTATGGCTTCTATATAGTGTGCTTTATCGAGTTTTAAATCCATAAGCTTTATTGAACTGTTTTCCTTGGTGAAGGATCTTATCTGTCTCAAAGGCTCGCTCGATTTTAGTAAATGCTGCTGTTAGAAAAGGAGAACGTTTGGTTCCACCGTTTTCATTCGAGATAGTAATTCGATCTACCTTCCCTGCTGCATCATCTAGAGTGAAGGTAGCTTAAGAGTTTATTTGCACGAATGCTGTCTCGGTTCTTAGATGTTAAATCATTATAGTTTCTCGGTTCTCGCATTCTTGTAAGTTTTATGTTATTGATGCAGGCGACAGAAAGGTTCGAGGCCATATATCCTACTGTCAAGGAAGTTGCTCTTACTGGTGTTCATGGAAGCAAAGCAATGAGACAAATGTCTTTGCAGATGTTCAACTCTGTTGTCAAAGCAGCTGGAGAAAGTACGTTTTTACGCTCTTCTCCCCCCTCGTCTCGGCTCCATTTCGTCCTCTACTTCGTTGATGTGAATGCTTGAGCTTTAACTTTTATATAAACAGGCTCTCCCGAATTATCGAAAGAAGCCGCTGGAGTAGTCATATGGTGTTTGAACCAGAACCCCGAATGCTATAAGCAGTGGGTGAGCAATCAGCTGTTCTAGTTTTTAGCAAACATTTATCTTCTTTTTGATTGTCAGCATTGGCTTGGTGTGAACAGGACAAGGTTTATTCCGACAACCTAGAATCGAGTGTTCGTATACTTCGAAGGCTTTCCAATGAATGGAAAGAACACTCTGCAAACTTAACTACTCTTGACCCTTTGAGGGAAACCGTCAAGTGTTTTAGGAACAAGGTGCGTACCGTGCTTCAGAAGGGAAACTTTTCAAGTCGTTTAAGACGTGACCTGATTATCCTTTTTTTATATTTGGTGATGTCCAGAATGAGAAAGCAATGACCAGTGAGTCGGATGCCGCGATACGGGCACTATATCAGGATGCAGACAAGTACTGTAAGCATATATCAGGAAAGCTATCGCGAGGCCATGTGTGCCTAAAAGCATTGGCCTTACTGATCGTCGCGGTTGGTGTAGGTGCTGCTGTTGTATCTCCCAACATGGATACTTCGGACTGGAATAAACTGTATGTTTCTATCAGCTCTCAGTTGCCGGTTTAAAGACTTCGCTTTTAGGTACTTTCTTTCCTCAGTTACAAGATCTTCGATCTGGAGTTTCTAGCACGAAAGAAGGGGAAAACAGAAAAAGGAAAACAAAGTGTTTATAGTCTCAGAACACAGGCTCTCGTCTTAAAAAAGCCAAGAAGCCCAAGGATCATGAGGGAAACCTTGCATAATATGAGCAGGGTTTACTGCAATTACATGTATTTTATTATAAGTAATTTATTCTAATGACTTGTATATTGAAATCTTGCATATGAGTTGGTTCGACTAATTTCTTTATTTAATTCTGAAACCACTAGCCTCCTAAATTGTTGTCTCCTGCACCTCTGTCTGGTCGTATCATACATGGCAACCATCTGCACTATTTCTATCGTGCTTAAGTATCGCATTTGCGATGGAATTCAACGATGGAAATCGAACAGAATTGTAATAAGACCTGTCCATAGGTAACTGGAAGTATCTTAAAGCTCATTCTTTCAGTCATGCATCCATAATTATTGGCTGAAGAACACCCTCAAGTTGATACAGAGCCTGTGCAAAAACTTTTGAGGGTGCAAATAGCACGACAAAGATATGCTTTTGAAAATAAAAGGGGGGAAAAAAACAAGAAGCGATGCGATCGAGAAGAGGAGCAACCATGACCAAGTGCTCTCAAGTTGGTTGCATAAAGGTGTTTCCTTTATGTCCTACATCTTCTAAACGAGCCTCAACTCACCATCATTGCAAACCTCCCCCATTTGTGTCTATTTACCTTTTTCTCTCTTCATTAACATTGTACATATGTACTCCTCCTACAATGTCCATGGGTATCCTATAACTTATAACACCTGGTTTTCATAAAGTAATTGCTTTTCATCATTGAATCCAAAGTCCATGCGCCACCCATCTAATGAATCTTATCCCGCCATTGCCATTGCCATTGCCAATCCCCTTGTACCAAAAAACCAATGCCATGAATGGTCTTCAGGAATTCAGACAAAGAAAACTCAATCATTGCATATAAGACGAGTATTCGATTCGATCGAGTCAAATAAGTTTTTTAATTGATCGAGTCGATGAATCTTATTTTTTAATTCGAAATTTTTTTATGTCATACTGAATTTATAAAATTCAAGTCGTTTATAAATGATTACCAAACTTTTACCGTGTTTACATTTTGATATCTAAACTTTTGAAACCTTTAGTGTGCTTGTATTATAATTTAAATGACTTTCTAAATCATTACGAAATATATATATTTCTTCATATTTTTCATATGTGGTTTATATATATATCATTAATCTTTTTAACGTTGAATCCAGTAAAAAAAATCAATTTTAAAAAAATTGAATCGAGTTTGAATCGCAAGTTTATTATATCCAACACAATTAAATGGTGGTGGAGAGATGCAGTATTTCTGTACATTAAATAGCTATTTGATTCAGACAGTTTAACAATGATGCTTATCTCAACTGAAATCAACAATCTAGTTTAACTAATATTGCTTTTAGGCCCCCTGCACCTTCCTTTAATTTGCTCAATTTCCCCCATTAAGCAACAATTAAACATTCTAATCTCATTTTAAGGAAACCAATTCAACAAATGCATTTATTATTTTTCTAAAATTGCGTTGAATTATTCTCTCTTTTTCCCAATCTACAATTAATGATTGTGATTAGGTTAAGTGTTAAAAAAAGACCCTCCACTTGCTAAAATTATTGATCGATCCATTTGTTGATCATAAAAGCATATAGACTTATAACTAAATCTGATAATAGCAGAAGGACCCAAACCACAATTAAACATATTTTATCATCTTCGGTTTTAATAATAATAAAAGCATATTTATGTAAATGAAAATCTCCTTCCACCCTCCAATTTTAATAATTATATCTCTAACAAATTTTTATTATATTTAATTTAAATTAATCAATCAATAAAATATGGTTGGTCTTGTCTCCCTATTTTTATCGTCCATAATATTTTCCTCATTTTCTGTCATAGAGTGGCCCTTTATATATTTGATTGCAAAATTTTAGGGCTTACTGGATATTTTCATCCCCTTTTGTGGGATCACCCCTTACTGCCCTAGGTCAAAAAGAAAAAAAAAACACACTATAAAGCTCTCACAAATTGGTACTCAACTGTTTGAACAGTGTAGAGGGGTAACAAAATCATCTTTAATGGTTCAATTACTTGTTTAATTTGAACTTTGGGGTTGGGATTAGAGGAGCTAAAAGGTCAGTGGGGGTAGAATTTAGACACTAAAGCATGATTAAAGTAATACCAATAAGGGTCGGTTTTGTAAGTATTTGTATTACTTAAGTAGGTCTTAAGTTCGTGATTTTATGTATGTAAAATATCTCGTTGGGAGACTTAACAACTAAAATATTTATGTACGATATAAATCTATATAAATTAATCAAGAAAAAAACCTTAAAATATAAAGAACACAACAAAAAGAAAAGCAGAACTATGGCAAAAGTAAGAAAAAGTAGGTTCCTTCAAAGATTAGGGAGTAATAAAATATATATTCTTTTTAATTAAAAAGATTTATTTTAAGATCAAATACGAAATCAAATATTAACCAATATCATTAAAAGAATTACAATTTAATGAATAAAACAATTTGTTTAATTTATTAAATACATTAAAATATTACAAAATGGTAATATTATGGATAAATAGATTTTAAAAAGAATTATGAATCTGGAGACGATTTTACTCTAAACTATTCCTTTTGTATTTTAGTACTAACTTGCGAAGAAATGAAAATTGAAGACTAAAATACATTTTTTTTATAAATCGTTACTAAGTGAAGTTTAGAGGTATTCCTTAAACACACCATTTTATTTTATTAAAATATATTTTTATAAAATTTCATTTATTTCTATATTTTTAATTTATCTTCAATTTAATATTAAAATTAAAAAAATATTAGAACAAGATGGGAAAGGGTTATAGAGCTAGGTTAAGACAGGTTACTAGGGTTTCGGAAAACTTTGGCTTTATGCCAGGCAAGTCTACTACGGAGACGATTCATCTACTTTGACGGCTTATTGAGAAATATAGGGAAAAAATAGAGATCTTCACATGACGTTCATTGACCTTGAGAAGGCATATGATAGCGTTCCCCGCGATACGATCTAGAAGACCTTGGAAACGAGACAGATCCCAATTGCTTATATCCGGGCGATTCGTGATATGTACTGTAGATCTACTACATACGTCAGGACTACAGTTGGCGACACCGAGGCTTTCCCGATGGAAATCAGACTCCACCAGGCGTTGACACTTTGCCCTTACATCTTCGTCTTGATTATGGACGACATCTACTGTGCGACACCAGACAATGTTCCATGGTGCATGCTTTTCGCTGACGACATTGTACTAGTTGCTGAAACAAAAACTGAGTTGAATAGTAGACTGACTACCTGGAAAACTGCTTTGGAAGAAAAATGTCTAAGGATCAATATTGAAAAGACAGAGTATTTATGTTCAAATTTCAGTGGGAACCAAAACAATGAAGATGTAGAAGTATGCATAGAAGGACACGTCCTCCCCTTAAAGGATTGTTTCAAGTACCTAGGGTCTATGATACATAAAGATGGGGGTATAGATGATGACGTTACACACCGTATAAAGGAGGGATGGCTAAAGTGGAGGGCTGCTACTGGAGTTTTGTGTGACAAGAAGGTGTCTCTAAAACTTAAGGGAAAATTTTATAGAATGACAATAAGACCAGGGTTGCTATATGGATCAGAATGTTGGGCAATCAAGAAGGATCACGTAAGGAAGATGGAGGCCGCATAAATGAGAATGCTTCGATGGGCATGTGGTAAGACTCTGTGGGATATGACACCAAACTCTGCTATTAGGATGTTCTTGGGGGTGGTGCTTGTATCCGAAAAATTGAGGGAGGGAATACTACGGTGGTTTGGGTATATCCTTAGGCGACAACCGTCAGATGTGGTCAGGAGGGTTGAGTCGATTACAGTCGACGGTGTCAGAAAGAGAGGACAACCAAGGCGGAAGTGGGAAGACTGCTTGAGATCTGATTTGAAGGATTTAGCCCTTACCGAGGACATGACCTCTGATAGAAAATTATGGAGACTTAAGACCATGGTAGCTGAGTAGTGCGGGTCACATACATAAGGTGTGTCATCTCTGCCTTCTTTTAACGCCTTTGTAGTTATTTTCATGACTTCTACTTTTTAAACGTTTCTGTCATTGGAATTTATGAAGTCGTAGAACTATGATAATGGAGTAGTATTGCCTTAGTTTAGGTTTTATCCCATTTGACTTTATACCTTCTCGTAGCTTGCTATCGTCGACTATTGTGTAACATTGTCTTCATGTTTCCTCTTTTAAGTTTGGTCGGGTCTTATGTTTCTGTCTATATACAAAGATTTTTACGCATAGATTTATTTGCTGGAAGTATTTTCCAGTACAAACGCGCATATGAAGACTGCATATGAAAACTGTTCAATTATGTATTTCTTTATTAATTTATACATGCATTGCATTTTATCTTTATTTTAAAAAAAATTTACTGCCGGAGGTCTTCCACGGAAGCTACTCTCAACCATGCGTTGGGGGCAGCCTACTACCCTACCTCCCCCTTGGCCCTTACCCCATTGCATATGAGAATATGATTTTATTGTTGTTGTTGTTGTTGTTGTAATTTTACTAAAATTATTTTAAAATAATTTTACTAAAATTATTTTAAAATAATTTTATTTATACGTAAAAGCATTCCTATCCTTAGTAACGAGGGTTGATTTAAGTGGCAAGTTACTTGCTTTTAAGCAGGTCTCGATTATGTATGTAGAAAATTTTTATTAAATGATTCACCTATCAAAATTAAACATAAAATACAAATCAATATAGATTAATCAAAATAAAATCTTTTGAGAATCGAAAAGAAAAGAAAAAAACACATTCCTATCCCTAGTTAATCAGATACTATACCCAAATCCATTTTTTTAACGATATCTATTTCCTTCTAATTTTACCCAAAATAGACATAAATGAAAATCATATTTGAGATTTAACATGAATTAGCAACCTGTCCTAAAATGGAGCCCACATCTAAATTTGAGAGTGGTCTCAACCAACTCATCGGTAAGGTTGGTGGGACCTTCCCATTTTGTTTG